GTCCCGTAGCCCACGTGCCTTACAGCAACGGCGTTTGCAGACGCCCTGAGCCCAGCACCCAGGCCTGGGCCTCAGGACCCCACACCCCCCTGCACAGAGGCCTGTCCATTCCAGAAAAGCCGACAGAGCCCTGGGGCTCTCCAGAGAGACAACCAACGGGATGTGTATGTGGAAAAGGAGGCTCGAGTCGAGGAATTCGCTCAGTTGACAGTGGGGACCAGGAGCCCAGAACCTATAGGGCTGGCCGGCTGGCAGGGGGTGTTTGCTCCAGAGATGTCCGTCTTTTTTAAGAAAAGCCTTCAACTGATTGGGTGAGGCTCAGCCACATGGTGAAAAACCTGCCCCTTCACTCAACGTCGGCTGATGTCAACATTAATGTCATCTGAAAAGTGCCTTCACATGAACATCTAGGTAGGCACCTGGGGGCCGTGGCTTGGCCAAGCCGACCCATCAAACCAACCCTCACAGAGGGATTGCGGGGCCTGGGTGCCTCTCCCGCCATCCCCAGCTGGGCAGCGCAGCTGCACTGCACGGTGAAAGTCACAGGCGGGCTGAGAACTCAGGGCTGACATGTTCTGATGTGTGCGCATGCCGTCCGCTGGCCCAAAGAGGACAGCTCAACACAGAGTGGCCACGGGCCTGCATGCTTGCTGCTGAGGCTTCCACAGGACACAGGCCAGCCTTGCCTCGCTTGCCCACACAGGGCCTGGAGAGGTCTCTGCTCCTATGGAAACATCAGCCACAGAATTGCCACCGGGGCTTCCAGAAGTATCCGACCCACAGGATAGTCCTCGGAGGGAGAACGGCCGCCCAACACCACATACTAGCACCACCACCTTCTCCAGTTCCATTCTACAACATTCTGGGTCGACTTGGGTCAGATGGTGGGGCCAGCTTCCCCACGCGAGGTGCAGCGTGAGGGGGCGTAGGGCTGGTGGGCCTGACCTGGGTGTGTGGCTGGGATGCTGCATTTCAGGCCCGAGAGCGTCCACTTCCCACGGACCCTGGGGGCCCATCACGACCTACCCGACTTGCTTGATCACAGAGGAAAAGGGGAAAAAATTCCCGTTGCCAAGGAGACCACTTCAAATATATTTCCCAGAGGGTCGGGTTACATTCCAGAGCCTGTTGTGCATGAGCCCCTGCCCCCATCAGCGCAGGGGATGCTCCTGCACGGCCTTGGTGTCACTGTCAGCCCACCGCCCTTCCCCGGCACCTTCTCCCGGAGACCCTGCAGGGAGCCACACTGCCTGCCCAGGGCACATGCTCGCAGTCAGCCGAGAGGGGACGCCAATACCGCAACGATGTCTCCAGAGCCAGCACATGACCTGGGAAAGTCCATCTCCATCGTCACTCACCACCAGGTGCGAATCGTGGAGGGCGGTGCAGTCTCTAGGGCCCTAGACGAGAATGAGGGGTGCCCAGACCCTCTCATGGGCCCACACACACGTGCACACGTCACACAGGAGCAAGGAGCAAGGAGCAAGGACTCCAGCCACTGGGATGCAGGGCAGACGCTCACAGGCCATGTGGCCTACCCCAGGAGGGACGCTGGCCCCTGACCGGGCCTCCCCGGCAGGTGCCTGGGGGCTCACGCAGCACCAGGCACACTCTGGGCTCAGAAAGCAGCGTCTCACGATATCAGGATTAATAAACCAGGTGACGGCTCCCTTTCCTGGCACTGTGTGAGGGCCCCTCGCCAGTCTGTGCCCATCACATACATTTAATGCTTTTCCTACCCGTGGCCTTGGACCTGCCTGGGAGGCAGCTTTAGTCTGCAGCAAATAATGGACACTTGTGTGGGCTGGCTGGGCTACTCCCTCGGCTCAGAGACCATAAGCACGAAGGCCGCAAACCTCAAAGCCTGCAAGGCAGGCACACCAGACACAAGGGCCAGGTGAGGACTGCAACTAATGGGCTCTTTCCCACCCCAAGGGGCCCACCCTCGGGTCTGCTGGGTGTGACCAGGTGAGCATGCAGGTTCAAGGCGCCCAGGTACCACGTTTTTAAAGGGAAGAGATTCCAATCACAATGGGAAACATCTGGAGTTTTAAATATTGACAATTAACTCAAATGATTTAAAAAACCACCACGCAGGCCAATGCAAACCCATCTCTGGCCCAGACTGGCCCCGTGAGCACCAGCTTCTGATTAAGGAGTTGAACCCTAGGGCAGGAAAAGATTTGTGCTCTTAAGCCGGCATCACGCCTTCCCCTTGGCCCCAGGTCCTCAGAGCTGCCAGAGGAGGAGGGGCTGCACACGTGTACCGCTCGTGGGGACAGGATGGGGACAGACAGGCAGTTCCAAGGTTGGGGACTTAGAGTCACCGTGCGTCCCCTCTCTCAGGGTCCGGGGCCTGGGCCTCGCCGGGCGCTCCCACTTGGGGCTGATGCCCAGGGGTGGCTGGTCTGCTCTCTGGAGGGGCAGCAGGCTGACACCCAGGGTGGGGCCCTCAGGGTGCTGAGTTCAGGGCCCTGCTGGTACGGGCATCTCAGCAGGGCTGCCGCTGCCAGGAAGGCCCCCCGGCCACAACCAGCCATAGGTGCCCCCGCGAGTCAGCACCCCCTTGTCCGGAGGCAGTGAGGACCCTCACTGGATCTAATGCAGATTTGGGGGTGGGGGGTCCGACAAAGTGGTGGCTGAAAAGACCCCCTCCGCCCCCTCCTGGACCCTGTGTTCTTATCTGGGAAATGCCAGGACCACAGAGACCCAGAGAGGGTGTCACATCCAAAGCTACAGCTGAGGGGTCCTCTGGCCATGAGCCGCAGCAGAGGGGACATTGCCCACCAGCCCCTTTGTCTGAGGGGCCAGACCCACATTGTAGGGAGGCCCTCAGGCCCCTGGTGACAGGCCCAGGCTCTCCTCCTGGATGAGCAGGCCGACCTCCCAAGATGGAAATGGGACCTGGAGCACCTCCCCCAGACTCGTCCGAGGAAAGGGAGGCAGGTGACCAGCCCCTGGGACCCACTCCACTCGCAGTCGACCAGACTCAGAACGCATGCTGTGTCCTCCTTCCTTCCCTTTCCCTTTAGAAGGAAACCTGAGTCAACGCCGCCGAGAGCTCCTCCCTGAGCTGGGGATTCCTTCAGACATACATACGTGGCCTCCAGGGAGCCCAGGGCGGGGCCTCCTCCGCAGCACCCACGCCTGCCCCGCAGGCACCCTCTGTCCTGTAGGGTGCGGCACTGGGACGGGGTGGGGTGCTGCTCAGCCGGCCAGGGCCTCCGGGGGGCCTCGGGTGCCCCCGCAGACCCGCCTTCCAGACATTTCAGGCCAGTAGCAGGGAGGAGGGGCCCCACATGCCCTCTCTGGAAGACCTGCTCCGTGCCCGCCAGGAATTAGCTGTCCCTCACGCCTCACGCGCCGGCAGAGAGGGCCCGATTCTCCGCACCCACCGACGGCCTGGCAAGTTCTCCTATCGTTTTATTATTTTTAATTTTTTTTGATGTTTATGTTTGAGAGAGAGAAAGAGAGAGCACGCACACACACACATGCAAGTGGGCGAGGGGCAGACACAGAGAGAGAAACACAGAATCTGAAGCAGTTCCAGGCTCTGAGCTGTCAGCACAGAGCTCGATGCGGGGCTCGAACCCACGAACCACAAGATCATGGCCTGAGCCAAAGTCGGATGCTTAACCAACTGAACCACCCAGGCACCTATATTTTTATTTTTTTTAAGTGCCCATTTTTAAGAGAGAGTAGGAGAGTGTGGGAGTTGGGGAGGGGCAGAGAGATAGGGAGAGAAAGATTCCAAGCAGGCTCTGCACTGTTAGCACTGAGCCTGATGTGGGGCTCAATCCCAGACTGTGACATGGTGACCTGAATCGGTGTTAAGGGTCAGACGTACACCTGACTGAGCCCTCTAGATGTCCTTCTTTCTATTTTAAACCCAGAAAGTGACCCCAGGTGCTGAGCAATGTGTACTTGCTGGTTGTGCAGAGACTCCAGCATGGACAGCCCGCTCTGGACAGCGGGATGACCCTGCTGCCACACCAGGCCACCACACTGCCACACTGGGCCACCTCACTGCCACACCGGGCCACCACACTGCCACACCAGGCCACCTTACTGCCACACTGGGCCACCTTACTGCCACACCGGGCCAGCACACTGCCACACCGGGCCACCACACTGCCCCACGGAGCCACCTCACTGCCACACCGGGCCACCACACTGTCACACCAGGCCACCATGCTGTCACACCAGGCCACCACATTGCCACGCTGAGGCCTTCCTTTCTCCAGTGGAAGACACACAGCTGAAGAATGTGCCCTAATGAGCATGAACATGAAATCCTTCCGCCCCTGAGCACCAGAGGAGGAGGAAGTGAGCCCAACAGGCGGCAGCATACTTCTGGCCCCGTGTAATCAGGGCTGCCCACTGCAAGGCAGGCCCCCATTCATTCCGGGCCACATCGGGGTGGGGGCTCACTCAGGGGGTCTCCGCCTAGTGCAGCCCTGGGGACAGGCGGACACAGCAGCTGCTCGCCCCTGTCAGTGACAGGCTGGAGTGTGGCCGACACGGATTATGGCCCCAGAGCCAGCTGTCGCTGGGCCTCGTAAAAATGACTCATGCATGTCCAGCCTGAGAACCTGCAGCCACTTTTAGAAACTAAACTGTTAATTTGAATGCACTGTAGATTTGTGCATAGTTGTAAGAAACAACATTGAAAGTTCTCGTGCGCCCTAAGTTTACACATTTCTGCCAAGGTCACCATGCCACCAAACTGGTGGTGCCACACCACACCCAGGATTCGGATGTGGGTTCAGACCCCTTACCTCCGCAGGGGCCACACTTGTGTTCAGTCCTGTGCAACATCCCCGCCCCGAGGCACCACACGCCCGGGCCGGGGCACTCAAATTTTCTAAGAGGAGACGCGTCGGCATGGGCGTGAGGCTGTTAGGGGGACAGAGGGTGAGGGTGGGGGGGCCAGTCCTGGCACGCAGGAGCAGCAGGGGAGGGGCGCTCGGTCCCTGCACCCCACCGCCAGCATCACTCACCTCCGTGATGATGAAGAAGTCATCCCCCGGCTCCCCCTGGACCACAATCTTCTCTCCGTCCTCAAACTGCACAGGCTCCAAGGCGTCGGCCACGGTCAGGCGCTCCCACTTCTCCAGGGACTCTAGAGCAGGTGACAAGGGGACTGTCACTGTGGCCTGCACCCTGCCCTGCCCCCAAGCACTTCCTCAGGAAGTACCACGGACCAGCCTTTGCTGTCACAGCGGTGAGGGAAATGGGAGCACATCCCTGTGCTGGAGGGCCCAGGCAGCGCCCCAGCGAGTCGGCCCAGGATGGATCCACCAGCGCTCCAGCCGTGCACTGCGGCCACTATGCAGTGTCACGTCCTTCAAAGGGCAATGACCCATGGGAAAGAAGCACCATTCATCATGGCGTGGCTGCAGAAGCCTTTGTGCTGAGGCTGGGCCTCACTCGCTGTCCCTTATTTTAGGTTATTTTAGATCAAAATACTGAATTCCACCTCCATGCTTTTCTTCACAGCCTGCAAATCCCGTATACCCTTCCGCCCCTCTCCACATCTTCCCCTCCTGATCAGCGTCCGTCCCTAACCCTCAGGATGGGAAAAACCACCCAGTATGCCCCATACGCTCCTTGTGTAAGAAAATAATGATTGCCTGATTAACTATTTCTCTTTTGGCAGAGGAAGCTTCCCTGGCCTAGACTTATCAGATGTTACTTAAGTAGGTCAGCGGCTAAAAATACAAAGCAAAGCATTTATTTTAGAACTAGGTTAGGAGCAGGATTTCTCCGCTTTCAGACGCCTGCCAACACTTCTCATAGCAAAGGATGAGCTTCGGCCGAGCCGCGAGCGCATGCGCCCCTTGGGCCGCTGGGAGAGTGCCGCATGCATGGCCGGCCAGCGCCAAGAGTTCCCACGCAGGCCAGCACATCCCCTGACACTGGGGCCCGACAGAGCGGGGCCTCGGGGGCGGAACGAGCCGGCTCGGTGGAGGCTTGTCTGTAGGCTTCTGAGCAAGGGCCACGGGGCGCGCGGCCCTTTGAGTCGTGCTGCCGGGAGCAAGTCTGTTCTGCGTGTCTCACCAACAGGTCTCTTACATCTGACATGTGACACCTGCGGCCTGAAAGTGACAATGGGTGAAGCTGTGTCCCGGCAGAAGACATGGGGAGATGGCAGTTTGTGGACCCCGACTGTTGAAGGGTCTGGTCTCTGAGGCAGGGTCCCTGGGGGTGGTTTTGCTGTGTGCAGGTCCCCTTTTCCGAGTGGGATTTTCAACACCGCGCCTGGATGGGGTGTGAACATTCGCAGGCGTTCCCCGGCTGTCACAGGCATACCCTGGCTGTCACAGGCGTCCCCCGGCTGTCACAGGAGTCCCCTGGCTGTCACAGGCGTCCTGCAGCCAGAGCCCCAGAGCCGGTGCGCGACCTGCAGGCGCAAGACGGGGAAGCCCAGGGTGGCTCCTGCGCTCACGCTCCCCCCAGGACTCCCACATTCAGTGCCACATTCAGGGGGCCGATTCCTGTGTCCACGTGCAGAAACCAGGATCCCCAGGCCCCAGGTGCACATCGGCTGCCTCCGCGTTCCTTCCTGATGAGGGCAAGGCCACCCCACCTTCCCACGCCAGAGGGTTTTGTGTGGCTGGGGTGACTGAGGGCCAAGGGATCAGCCTTGGGGATACTCTGCCCAACAGCCACGGAGAAGTGCTTGGCGGCAATGGACTCATTGGAGGGAACAAAGCTTGTGGATGGGGGCTGAATAGAGCACATTAGAGCGCTGAGCAGGCAGTGGGAGTAGGAGAGATGTAGAAGGTGACCAGAGTGCTTGGGCTCCGAGGGAATGGGGGACTGCGAGGGACCAGGGGGCCCCAGGTTCAGGGATTTCTTGTGGGGCTAAAATACCCCTCCCCCCAGCCCATGAGACTGTGAGACCCACTCAGGAGGCTGCAGAGTTTCGTGTTGCCGAGTATGACACTGGCCACCAACGCAGTGTCCCTTCATACGGCGCATGCAGACCAGGCACCTGCAAAGACTGGTTTGCGGGCACGGGGCCTCCACCGGCAGTGATGGGAAGGTTCTGGAACCAGGGAGTGGGGGTGGGGGTACCACACGAAGTGCAGACACCCTGAAGTTAAAAATGGCTGAAACGGTAGATGCACTTTTACCACAAGAGCAAGAGAAAAACCAGAACCTTCTCTCTTCATCTCACAGGATCCCAGAGAGGGTGTGGGGTCACGCCATTGCATGTGCCCTGGTGAGTGCCAACCCCGGGGTCAGACACCCCTCTGTGCCCTCCCTGCCAAGCCTGCTTTACTGTTTTTGGTTAAATTACTCATTGTTTGCTACAAATAACTCAAGAAATAGAGCAAAGTGTCAGCACAGAGCCCAACACGGGGCTCAAACCCCTGAACCATGAGATCGTGACCCAACCTGAAGTCAGACGCTCAACCGACTGAGCCACCCGGGCACCTGAAAACGGGCCATTTCCTGTGGCTTAACTTGACACGCTGAACTTCAGACAGGCTCCATGTCAAGGACACAGATGGCCCTGTTTTGCCCCCCTCCGGTTTTCACTCCCTGATGTAGCTGCGAAGGAGTGGACACACCGCCCACCACCCACCCCGTCCGGGGTCTTCTGAGCCTCTCAGGCACTGGCCCTCCTACTCCGGAGAACCTGGGGCCTGGCGGGGGCCGCCTTGTGCTCTGCCTCCATCAAACAGCTCCACGCAGCTCCGTCCGTCCTCTGTCCGCAGCGGCCACATCCCCGGGGTGCTCTCCTGGGTTTGGTGACATGGCCTCCAAGGGGACCTGCTCATAGGCTTCCCTGTGCCCCTCCTGGTCATCTGCTCCACACTCGATCTCCTCTACTCATCCTCATTTGGAAAAAAGTTGATTAAAAAAGTAGCGCGAACGACATAACCCACCAACGTCCATCCTGAATAAAATAAAATGAATATTTATCACGATTGCTTCAGATGTATTTAAAGTTTAAAAAATTTTAATTTGTTATTATTGAAGCGCAGTTGATCTTCAGCCCTGTTTTCAGAAGACGTATAGCATAGCTGATAAGATCCACATGCCCTTCACGGCACGCCCAATCTGACGTCCGCCTCCCTCCCTGTAGCGATTTCTCAGGACCTGCCATTGAGCTTCCGCTTCTGTCGAAGGATGGTGTCACGGGCACCGCGGAGCCGGGACCGTCTGCATGTGCTGCCTTCTGACTCCTGCAGCTCCTGCCGCCGCCGCCTGACTGCATGTCCCCCATGGGATGCCGCACGCTGTTCCCACTGCTTGGGCGCAAACACCACTGTGTCTCTGCACCCTGGAGGGACTCCCGAATTCTGTAGAGCAGGTGGGGTGGGGGACCACCGCGCCTGCTCCTCCCATGAGCCCGGCCTCCGAGGCTTGGCCAGGATGGGTCTCCCAGCTCTTCCCTCTTTGGGCCACTGCTCTCCAGGTGGATCTGTGTTCTAGAAAAGCCCTACCCTGGATTTGGTTTCTGCTTCTGTGGACATGCTCTCTTCCCAACCGGGTTCCTTTCCGTGCATCTCGTGCTCTCAGCTTTCCTCTGTAGCTCCGGCACCAATGCTGACCTGTTCAGCTGCCGTGGCCTTTCACTCCACATGTCCACGCTTGGTTCAGGGCATGCAGCTGGGGTTTCCTCCTGACCTCCCCTCCCATCCTCCCCTGGAAGGGAAGGTGGTGGGACCTCCCCTTGTTCCTGCAGCCTGGACAGCTGGGGCCGGGCAGAGGGGAGCCCAGCATCCCCACGGGCTCATGCCACGCATGGAGGGGAGCTGCTCTGATCCTGTGACCTCATCCACGAGCCTCAGCCATGGTGCTGCACCTCTCGCCCCAGTGGTTGCGTTTGCTTCTTTTCCTTTCTCGCCCCATCACACTCTCAGAACTGGAGGATGCCTCTCATCCCCATCCTCACCCTGAGGCCTTGAGCACTGCTGCTGGGCAGTGGTTCCAGCGGTTCCCAGGGCTCAGCACCCCCTGCCCCCACCCTCCTGTGCAGCACCCCTCCCGTGGGCTAGAGCTGCCCTGGCCAAAGTGGAGCCACCAGCCACAGGCTTGTACGTGCATTTAACTTGATTAAAATGAAATTAAGTTAAAACTCGGTTTCTTGGCCACACCAGCCATGTGTCAAGTGCCCAACACAGACAAGGGACAGGCCCCGTCTGCAGCAACAGAGGCTTATCATGTAGGTTACAGCAATTTCAAACACCGAAAACCTCTTCTCTCTGTTGATACTACTGGAAACCAGCTGAACTGTAGCCAACGTGTTTATCGGACCCCAGGACAAGAAAGGGCAAAACTGCACCAGGAGAAGCCCCACTTAGGAAAAAGCCAAAACAGGCCAGGGAAAGCCCAACAGAGCAGACCACGTTTACTAGAACATGAAATGACTGACTGACATGGAGGAAGAGCTGGTGGTGACACAGATGGCAGAGGGACAGACAAGCAGAGCACACGGGACAAGGGCACAGAGGCTCTGGGAGAGGATAACGCTGCCTGGCGGAGCCGCCACCCAGTTCTCCATGGGTGTGTGTGAACGAGTGTGTGCATGTACACGTGTGGTCATACCCGTGCAGATACACACGTGCGTATGCATGAGTGTGCCTGTGTGCACACGTGTGTGAGCGGGCCTGTGTGAGTATATGCATGTGTGCAAATGTACATTGTGAATGCATACGTGTGTGCGAGCATGCCTGTGTGGGTGCATACGTGTGTGTGAGCATATCCACGTGGGTGCACACATGTAAGCCATGCCTGTGTGGGTTCACACGTGTCCATGTCCCAACCCTGCACATCACCAAGACTGCTGGACCAGGCACACAGGGACCATGGAAACGGCTGGAGCCAGCAGGCAGGACTCGCACGAGGCTGCAGGAGGCCACCCAGCACGGGGCCGCACATGGGGCGGGGGTGGGGCTGCACGTGGGGCGGGGGCCACTGACCCAGGATGGAGACCTTGCTGAGAAACTCCTCGTACATCTTGCGCTTTCTCAGCGTGCTGCCCTGTTCAAGAGAAAGAAGAAGACAGAAAAGAACATGGGTCTTCAAGCCTGACTCATTTTGACATTTCCAAACTTCCCCCAATGACTCTGAACTCTTAAAAGTCCACCCTTTGAGCATTCCATGTCCCACAGGCCCCTCCAAGACCCCACCTAGCACCTCCTCCAGGCAGGCAGCTGCACCCCTTGGCTGGCAACAGCGACCTCACCCAGCCCAGGCCAGTGTCCAGTCCGCCCAAGGAGCACCCAGCCGACCAGAATCCTACAACGGGGTTTCCATGTGCTGAAGGCAGGTGTCCCCAAGGGGACAGTCTGGCAAGGGGTCCAGTCTGAGCCGGGCGCACTGCACCCCACCCTTCCCCCCAACACACACACATCTGGAAGAGATGCTGGGGCTGGCGGCAGAACCGAGCTTGTGACACAGAAAGGGAGGGAGGAGGCGACAGCAGTTAAGTCCCTGGGCTGATGTGCCTGAAACGGGTGCCTGGTGAGAAGAGCTAGTGTGGTGCTTCTTTCCCAACCAGGTGCTGGCTGAGTAAGATAAAACCAGTAGAAGGGCCCCCATCAACCTTCACCGGAATTGGAAAAGGGCACCTGCTTCTTCAAGCGTGCATCCCAGCGAGCTGGTGACCTGAGCGAAGGAGGAAGGAGGCCCAGCCTTCCAGCAGCCAGAACCAACCCGGCAGGCAGAGAGCCGTCTGGACTTTATCCCCCTAGCCTGCTGCCCAGGGCCTTTGCACAGAGCACACATTCTGCAACAGTGCACGGCAGCCCCACCAAAGAGGACGGCTAAGCACCACACGTTCAGGAAACCAGGACACACAGTCCACCGGCAGGGCAGCAACAACTCTGCTTAAACTCAAACAGCCTCATCCAGCACCTGGGGTGTAAGACGGATGGAGACCAGTCACCACAGACTGGACACCTGGTATGGGGACGAGGGAGGAGGACAGCACCGAGGAAGATGGGCTCAGGCCAGGGCAGCGGCGAGCCCCTAAACATGCAGGCCCTCCTCAACCTTGTGAGAGTCCTGGGAGACGAGGGCACAATTACCCTCATCCCCAGATGAGGAAGCAGGCTTGGAGGGGCCAGTGACTGACTAGATTGGGATCACAGGAGCAGGAATGAAACCCAGACTGTGCCCTACACATCCCAAAGCTTGGCGGTGATGATAGTGATGATGATGGAGATGGTTGCGATTATGGTGATGGTGATGATGGTGATGGTGATGTGATGGTGGTGGTGATGATGATAATGGTGGTGATGGTGGTGATGGTGATGGTGGTGTTGATGGTGATGATGGTGATGGTGATGGAGATGGTGGTGATTATGATGCTGGTGATGCTTGTGATAGTGATCATGATGATGGTGGTGATTATGTGATGGTGGTGATTATGTGATGGTGGTGATTATGTGATGGTGGTAATGGCGGTGATGATGATGATAATGATGGTGATGGTGATGAGGGTGATGGTGCTGGTGGTAATGGTGGTGATGATGATGACAAGGGTGATGGGGATCATGGTAATATGGATGGTGGTGACGGTGGTGGATGTGAATGATGAGGACATCTCCCCCCAATAGAGGGCACCCACTGTGAGGTCCTGGACCACGGGACGATGGGCACTGCCCCTGCTGAGTGTGGGAGGTGTGGCAGGGGCGGGACAGGCTCACTGCAGCTGTGGTGTGTACCTTTTCCACAGCTCAGCATGTCCAGGAGTTGGGACCCACAGGCATGCAGGGGGTGGGGGGGCATCCGGACAGCCCTGGGTCAGATCGCTGCCCCTCACCAGGCGTGCGGGCAAGCACGGCATCTGTCCAGCCTGTTCCCTCGGCGGCACATGTCCTCCCCAGAGGATCCCAGGAAGGTTACAGGAGCCCCTGGACCGAGTGACAAGCCGATGGGCCCCAGGCCTTGCCAGCACTACAGAGGCTACAGGTCCCGATTTCAGAATCCTAATGGTGCTCCGCCAGCCACACAGAGCCCCACAGTCACCCCCGGGCCCCTCCATGAGCAAGGCCCCGACAGGGCCGGGGACCCAGCCAGCAAACCACCTCATAGCCAGACGGGACAGCACTGAAGGTGCTTCTGTCCGGCCACGGCCCAAGGCATGGACGCAGAGCCCAGGGTGTTTCCAACACTGTGACCGCTGCTGGGGCTGGTGTGGACACCCAGGGGGCAGCACGCTGAGCCTGGGGCATTGGCCATTCCCGCTGGCCTCGCTGTGCGACAGGCATTTCTTCAGAAAAACAACCAGAGATTTCCACAGCTGTGCGACAGGCATTTCTTCAGAAAAACAACCGAAGATTTCCATAGCCCTCCCGGGAAGGACGCCACCCAGTGGCGTGCAGGTGCGTCTCTGCCTGGGGACCTCAATATTCAAGGCCAGCACAGCTGGCGCGGCCCCCCTGCTGCAGGACAGCTCATGGGAGGCGGCCGGCTGAGGCGCCCTGCCCTCCGGGCGCTTGCCAGCTGTGATGGAGACTTCGGGTGCGGCTGGGTGGAAGCCCGGGGGTCTGTTCACATCGGAGCGGGAGGCACCCCTCGGGCACTTCGTGCAGGAGAGGCTGGCGCGTGACTGCCTCATGGGTGTGCTGCAGCCCGAGGAGGTTATCTGTGTTCTTCATGCGGGGGGGAGCGGAGCGGGCACCCCACACCTGACCCGGGAGGGATGGGCAGGGAGCCACCGTGCAGCCGGCAGACTGGCTGCAGATGCAGGCCAGAGCCTGGCCCTGCTCCGTGTCTCGCCGAGCTCCGTCCACCCCCTGATGCTGCACAGAGCAGCAGAGGGAAGGGAAGGGGATGTTCAAGGGAACTTTCCAGATCAGATGCCCTGGGCTCCCTGCAGCCTGACTCCCTGGAGACACACTGGCACCCCCCATGCCCCGCTCCCCACGGCATGTCCCAGCTCAGTGCTAAGTGGATGCATGGCAGAGCCACTCTGCATGATGGAGGCATCCAAATCCGTCCAAACCCAGGACTGACACAAAAATGGACGCCATCCTGCAGGACACTCCCTTCCGTGTCGGCCAGCACCACCATGCTCCTTTCGGGACACAGAGGCTCTGCAGGCTCATGGCACAGCCACGGCTATTCTTAGTACACAGGGCCCCAGAATGGAGACAGAGGAAGTGCCAGCTGCCTCGGTGGTTTGGGAACTTCCCTGAATGTAAGGCTCCAGCCACAAAAATCCCACAGCCCAGGAAGACTCAGCACTGACGAAGGCCAGAAACAATGGCTTATGCAACGCAGGGCCAGGTGCACATGGAGGGGGCAAAGGCTTCTGGGTCCCCTCCAAAACCTGCCCCTGCCTGAGTCAGGGTGGGGGGCAGCCAGCCTCTCCCAGGAAGAACAGAGGCTGGCAGGTTGAAGACACAGAGGACAGAGCACAGGTTGGGGTCCAGAACACAGGGGCGTCAGCCGCTTTCTCCTGATGTGTCTGTGGCTCTAATCTCCTGTGCACGGTGGGTGCTCAGTCGATGCCTGCTGAGTGCACAGGGGTGGGGTCCTCACATGCACGGAGCCTGATCAGACCATGAGCCCCAGGACCACACTGAACCCTCCCCGTGTCACGTAGACTAGGTGTTACAGTGGGGCCAGGACGGATGGGGGGCGCCAATGTTCCCAGGACGAGGGGCAGCCTGGGCAGGACCCCGTCCCCAGGCTCCCATCCGACTGAGGCCTGGGGCTTCTCTAAAGTGCCCATGGATGGAACCCAGGCCACCCCCAGAGCGCCCCCAGATCACAGCCCCTGCCTCACTGGAAGCCACACCATCCACAGGGAGACAGCCTAGCCCTGGGGGACATGTAGGGGACACATGGGGACGCCACAGGTCTCCAGGCAGGGAGCTCACCCCCATCACCCTCCTCCAGGGTGGTGAGAGCTGGGTCTGGGCAGACACTATCTCTGGCCCCCAGAGCTGCTCTCAGCAACAAGCCCCCACCCAGGTTCTCCCAGGCCACCCTCACCGCCCAGAAGAGCACCTGGCCCAGCTGTCACCCCCAGGCGAGTTTCAGCGGCTGAGAAGGGAGGCTTCCCAAGGGCCAGGTCTCGGCTCCAGGGGCTTCTGCACAGAGAGGGGAGGGATGGAGGCCCTCAATCAGGCTGGGATGTCCTCAGAGCGGAGTGACTAGCCCATGGCCAGGCTCCTGGCACCTCTCTGCTCTACTGACTTGGTGAATGGGTTCCATTCTCAGTCACCTTGTGGTCTATGATGGCTGCTAGAGCTCCAGCCATCACAACCCCACTCCAAACAGCTAAAAAGAGATAAGAAAGGAAGGCAAAGGAGCTGCCCCAGCTACCTGCTTGCCTTTTAAGAAGTTTCCAGAATCTCTCCCACACTCTGCATCCACCCCACTGGCCCTTATCTACCACCCTCGCTTGGATAAAGCCAGGGTTCCCATGAGATGCTTGGCTGCAGGTATGCACCAGACATCACCGGCCTGCCGAAGCTCCCGTGCCAGGGCGCCACTCACCATGAGGATTCGCCGGTAGCTGTCCCGGTCGATGCCCCAGAGCTTGAGGTCCGTCTTGGCTTTCACAGTCGCTGCCCTGGGGGTGCCGTAGATGAGTGCCAGCTCCCCAAAGCTGCCCCCCTCACTGATGCTGGTCACCCACTCTCCATTAACGTACACCTTCAGGGGACAGAGCAAGAAATGTCAGAAACATCACCGGGGATGGGTGGGGTCACACTGGCGCGTTTGGCATCGGGAGCCCTCCTCTGAGCCCACCAGAGGGGACCCGGCAAGGAGGGCGTGTGTGGTTGCACCCCCAGGTCCCCTCACCTGCCCAGGCACACCTGGCTCTCAGCCAGCTTAGCTGCCCTCCCCACCCCAGGCCTGGCTGGGCAGGTGCAATGGCACCTTCTTAGTCCTGGCCCCCTCCCCGTCCTGATGTCAATGTCGGCGAGAAGAGCCAGAGGCGGAAACACCGCCCAAGGCTCCTGGTCTGCGCAAAACCCTACATGCATCCCTGGCCGGCCTTTGATTCAGCCCTTGTCAGCCTCAGATGGTTCTCAGGGCCCATCTCCCCAGTCACACACGGTGAGGCCAACTCAGTGCTTACACGGGGCTGCCCAGTGCCCCCACCTCCAGCCAGCAACTGTGCCCAGCCTGGCCCAGCAAGACCCAGGTAGCCAGGGCCTCCCCTGACCGGGGCAGCACCAGGCTCCCCAGGCCTGCAGTCAGTGGGGATGTTGCCAGGGCACCGAGGAGATGATGCTGCGCTGAGAAGGCCCTTTCAGCCTGCTTGGGTGCTCGGCACAGTGCTCCCAGTATGCACAGACAGACCCTGCACGTTCCGGACAACACAAGAATGACCCAGATTGTCTATTATGTGGTGCCTGTGCGGATCTGGCTACTATGAGCTGACACAACGCACACATTATCCCCCCAGCGTGTCAATGGGCTTGAAGAATAGTTCCCATTGGCAAAATGGGTGCGCACCGGGAAAGAATGGATCACGGTGAAGCACGGACTCGATTCTTACTGAAATCAATGACTCATTATCTGCCCAAGAGTGATAACACAGTCGCACGCATCTGCCAGAAAACGCCACACAGGTGAGATCTCCGTGTGCACAAGGGTCAAGGGGAGACCCGGCTGACCGTGCAGCTGGATGGGACCCAGTGAACCACGGCTGTCCAGGCAAAGCTGCCCCCAGGGCCGTGCGTGTGCCCCTGGGAGTGTTCCCAGGCCCCACCCAACCCTGTTGTCATGCTCCTGTGGGGAAGTCGGGGCATCTGGGTACCCAGGGGGGAAAGACGATCCCCGGGGGGGAAGAGACGCCAGCGTCCATATGACAAGGCCCTCGAGGAACCAGAACAGTGTCCCATCCTTCCCGTCTGGCCCAGCCACCAACGTGCAGGGATGCAGCAAAGACAGCCGGTGACCCAGGAGTTTTCGGAGTGGACCTGGGGCCCCTGGGGAGGGGGCGGCAACAACTTATCAGTGGTCCCGGTGACCCGGGCACAGCGGGGCCAGCCTTCCCATCAAGCTTCCCTGTGGTGAAGTCTGGCCACGTGAATGGACGGCTCCAGGATGCCCCGGACGTCCCAGGTCCCCTCCAGCAACCACAGCCCCTCGGGAAGGCGTCAGGGGCACATCCATGTGCGCTCGTCATGTGCGCTGTTGGGTCCAGCCCTGGCCGTCACAGGTCCACAGGCCGTGCGGCAGGCCCCATCCTGGGGGACACAGATGGTGCCCGTGCCTCCTCCAGGGGGATGCCTGTGGGGGCATGCCAGCCGCCCAACAGACAAAAGAGCACAGGGACCCAGGGGACAGAGGAGGGGCTCAGCAGAGCCACCCAGGCACATCTGCACCCTGTTTCCTGAGGCATGTCCCCAAAGCGCAAGCAGGGCAGGACCGAGGAGACCCCCTTCCCTGCCCAGAAGCCAGGCCTCAGAGAGCTCCCTGCGAGGCGTCAGAGGAAGCCATTGTGCGGAGCTGCCGCCGGGCCCAAGACCACGCTGCCCGCCGAGCACAAAGGGGCCATCCTTCTCGGGACACTGGGCTCTGTCACCGTGACGGGCACGGCACTGGGCCCCACCCCAGCTGGCACGCAAAGGGGCTACTTCTTGCGTTGTTTCATTTTTTGTTTCTTCTTCTTCTTCTAGAATAAAAATGGTGGGAGGCCCTACTGGGCTACACTCACAGTCCCACCACCAACGGGGACTTCTCCAGCTGAACCCAGAGCCCCCACCCGGCTGCTCTGCGTTAGTGCATTCATCCATCCGTCTGTCCATTGCCCCCAGTGTGGACTGAGCACCCCTCTGTGCCCTGCGCACTCTAAGTGCTGGCAGTCAGCAGGGGAAGGCAGCGGGTTCCTGTCTACAGGGACTCCCCGACGGGCCGGGAGAAAGGCTGTAGGCAAATAATTACACAGACACACATTCATGTGAAGCATGCTCCAGGCGTGAGGAGAGCAGGAGGCACAGGGACCAGAAGGACCATGACAGAGACTGTCCGTAGAGAGCTGTCTGTGGAGGAGACTTGGGCCAGGTCTAAGTGTCCAGCTCAATGTGCAAAGATGTGGGAGAAGGGTGACTGAGGCTGAGGATGGAACATGCAAAGGCCCTGAGGCCACAATGAAATGAAAGATACTACCAGACGCGGCATGACCAAGCAGGGACAGATGCCACGGTGGAGAAAAGGGCTAAGATGTTGTTCTGGAAGCAAAAGGAAGCCATGGAAGGTTCTGGCACCTCATCTGGTTTATGCTATGACACTCCCTCTGCTGGGGTGTGGAGAACAGCATGGGCTGCCAGAGGGGAGAGGGGCAGGGGTGGAGAGGTCCCTCAACAGGTGGCTGTGACGTAGCCTGAGTGGGACAGACTGCTTCTGCACCACAAAGACTGGGGGCACAGGGGGGCACAGGTCCTGCTCAGAGAGCCCCGGGCAGCCTCCCCCCGCCATGCATGGAAAGGGAGCACCACCCACCTGGAAGCCCCCCCACCCACTGCCCCCCACCCCCGACCCCCCATGCATGGAAGAGAGGGAGCACTGCCCACGCAGGGGTGCTGCCGCCTTGCTCTGCCGCCCGCACTCCCAGACCCGGGCATCTCAGGGCAACGCTCCGCCGCACAGAAAGCAGAAACTGTCTGGGAAGTGGGGACAGTGCCCGCAGCCCCGCCTGCTTTCTCACGCCGCCTGGGGCTGGCCCGGCATGGCCCGCATGCCCCGCTGTTGTTTTCCTTTGCCGACAGCAAGGAAAAGCTAATGGCCCGTCTCTTCCCACCTCCCAGGCCCTCGCAGGAGCGTCCGTGGCCCGTTAGCACCCAGATCCTGGTCACTCGGCCGGGTGCCCACAGGCACCCAGGGGGCAGTGGACACCCCGCCTGTCTCGCGCTATGCCCCACCAGGCCGCGGCTGTCTCCAGCTCCAAAGATGATGCCCATGGGGCGGTCTGGCACACCCTGAGCACGGGCCTTGACGCTCCCATCCACAGTAACCAGGACATGCGGGTTGTTTCCAGTCAGGTGGAAAGCCAGCTGGGTCCCCCCAGAGGAGCCCCAAATCTGTCGTGTTGCACGGCCCTCCTCCTGGCCTCCCCCCATGTCGACCACACTCAGGCGCCCACAGTGACCCCCATTCCAAAGGACAGTCATCACCAGCTGAGTCGAAACCAGTCCCGACCACAGCAGGGCCGCTGGGAAAGTGAGTGCTGGGGCCCCAGACGTGCTCTGTGGAAGAGCTGTGTTTGGAAGAACCGAGATGCTGCAGGGAAACATCACAGCCCACTCCAGGCCGCGGCCACAGCACTCCCTAAGTGACTAAGTAACCAACCTCAGAGCAGGGACTGGAACAGAAACTCATACCCTGTTCATAACAACATGATCCACAGCAGCCAAGATGTGGGGCCACACCTGTGATCACCGACATGACCAGAGAAACACAACATGACCCATGCACACAATGGACTACGGGGCTCAGCCTCATAAAAGAAAGAAACTCTGACACCTGCCACAACGTGCATGAACCTTAAGGACACGATGCTGAATGACACAGCCAGACACAGAAGGACAGGCGCTGGGCTCCACTCGCACAAGGTCCCAGGTTGTCAGATTCACAGACACGGAGTAGAAGGCGGGCCGGGGCTGGGGGAGCAGGTGGGGGTCCGTGTGTAATGGGAACAGAGTCTCAGTGCGGATGGAATGTTCTGGAAATCGATGGTGTGCATGGCTACAGAGCTGTGTGAATGTGCTCGGTGCCCCTGAACTGTAGGCTTAAAAATGGTTAAGATGGGAAATTTTATGTTATGTGTATTTTACCAATTAAAAAAACACAGAGCACCAGGAGAACACTGAATAACAACTGACCGTGACCATGGACCCAGATGGCAGTGCCCTGGGTGCCCTGTCCAGGGGCCACAGCTCAGGGGCCTCATGCCCACCCTGGAGGCTAGGCACCGGAAGGAGCTGGGTGGGGCAGGAGCCTGGGGTGGGGGTGGGGCGGCCCCAGCACAAAGAGGGGCCGAAAATAACGAAAGGCTCACAGGATTAGGGAGGGGCTGGGCCTCAGACAGTACTACGTTCCTGAGCCCTAAAATCGGCAGCGGAGTATCCTTTTAAGTAAAAATGCCATGTTCCATGAATAAAACAAATTGGGAGATATTTTTATCCTTAGAAAAAGGGATTATAGCTCTTGGCAACACACGCTGCGGTGTCTCTCTCGACAACCATAATTGAAACCGAACTTGGTGCTCTCGGCACTAGTCACCTGGCCGCTCCCCTGCCCCCCACCCCGGGGTGCCGCTGGGCCAAGGGCAGTGTCTGCCCTCAGGAGCCTGTGTCCTCGGGGCTTCCGCACGTCGTGGGCCCGCCTCCCCCAACAAGGCAGATACCACCGGAGACTGACAGCCAGCCCAGCGACCCCGAGCCGGGTCAGCCAGGTTGCCTGCGGTGTCCTGGTGGGCGGTTCACAGAAACGGGCCACAGAGGCCCTGCAGAAGTGATGACGGTACCTACTGTGATGTGTGCCTATAACATCCGGCCAGCCGACACACCACTGTCTCCTTCCCGAACGCTGACTGAGCTCTTTGGGTCCCTTACATGCAGTCTTCACCCATCTGCTGCGCTGCCCCGTGGGTCCCACACCACAGGGCAGCTCCTGCCCAGCCGGGAACCTGGAGGGCTTGACAGAGGGGCCCCTACAAGTCACTGCCGGTCCCCTCGGGGTCCGCTGGCCCAAACCTGAGACTCCCGTGGGCAGCGCCCGGCTGTCCCGGCTGGAGTGAGCCTGGGCCCAGCGAGCACCTTAGAGCCACCTTTGTACCTGAACTTCCAAGGCCGTGCTAGACCTGCCAAGATGACGTGTTTGGGGAACCCAGCTCATAAGAAGGTGACCTCACTCTTCCCTCCCCAAACTGCCTCCAACGTCCCTGGCCGAAAGAGAAGCTGGCTGACGCCTGGTGCGTCGTGAGGTAGCCGGCATGGGCAGCCGGCCAACAGGGAGGCTGGCAACTGGCCGTCTGCTCTCCCACCCCAAGGGGCCCGGGGGCCAGGCTCTGTGCCTCCTCTGGGGGTGTGGAGGGTCCCGCCAGGAGGAACAAGCCAAGCCGGCTGCTTCTCAGCTGCTTATTTCTCGTCACATCTGACTTACAGAGGGGCGGGGGGCAGTGTTTGCAAGGACGCTGTCGTGTGGGGCCTGAGCACGCTAGGCGGACGTGAGGGTGGGGGTGAGGAGGGGACAGGTCACGCTAAGAGGCTGAGTGTCAGGGGCACCATCATCTGGGACAACAGGGCCCACGAGGCGCTTAGGGGACCATCCCTCAGGGGGCAGGTCCTGGTGGGTGCCCACCTCTCACACCTGCAAGCGCTTCCTGCCAGGCCTACTCCCTGCATCAGAGGGGCTGGGCAGGGCTCTGCCTGGACAAAGGAGCAGCAGGGCCTGGGTGGGGTCTTAAAGGATACATAGGAGTTTGCAAGGAAGAGCCGAAACAAGAACATAAGGACAAGAGGAGTAAAGACCCAGAGATAAGTCACCTTTGGCCACTCTGCTGCTCATAACCATCTCCCTCAGGACCTGCAACCCCGAGGGCAGGGGCCAGGGGCCCCCAAGTGCGTTCTGGGCACACAGCACTGCTCCATAAACGTCTGAGCAGGAATGCAGGCAAGGGGAGTAGCAGAGCGGCTTCTGAGAACAGTGACAGCCTGAGGATAGGGCTGGGGAGACGGGCAGGGGTGAGGGCCGGGTGGAAGCCTGTGGATCTGAACCTGGAACAACCCCACCTCCCACGGGCGGCCCCTGCCCAGCTGGGGAGCTGGCTGCATCCGGGCCTGTCTTCCCTGCTTCCTGGGCGGGCACTGGCTCTAACCCACAGCCGCGGCAGCAGGAGTTACTCTGTGGGCTGGCAGCCTTCCTCTGCGGCTGTGGGCGGCCGGGGACCTTGGGCTCCCGCCTCAGTTTCCTTCTTTGGTGGCCGGCGGAAACCCGTCCCCGCCCTCACCCTAACCCCCGAGCTCAGGATGGAAAGACAGCTTGATGCCCGTCCTCGAGGTGACTCCGTGTGTCCCTCAACAGTGCAGGGGGGAGAGCCCCCACCTCGCAGGCGTGGAGTGCGGGGCGGGGGAGGCATGGAGGCACCAAGCACCTGGGCCCTGGTGTGCCCTGACGATGGGCGTGTAACCACAAACTGAGCTGAGTCACAGTAAGGAGGCCACAGAGAAAACTGTGGGGCCAGATGCACCTGCAGAGGAGGGACAGCAGACGGAGGCCGGAGGAGAGGCAGGAGCAAGAGGGGCGGCAGGGGTCCAGGCAGCGGCGGCATGGCACCAGCAGACCCCGGGAAGCAAGAGTGAGAGAGCGCTGCGGGCACGGTCCCAGAGGACCCTGGGAAGGGGGAGAGCGCCGCAGGCGGCAGATGAGGCGGGAGAGGTACTCACATCCACTTCTCCTTGGTCTATCACGTAGAAATTATCGCCTTCATCCCCTGAAACGAAAGAAAACATGCTGTGCACACCGCGCAGGGCTCCGGGGGCTGCACTTCTGTCCCCGAAAGCCAGCCCTGCCACTGCCTCACGAAGCCAAGGACTCTGCATCTCACCCAGTTTTCTTGTTTTTTATTTTTTTTTATTTTTTATTTTATTTTATTTTATTTTTTTTAAATATTTTTATTTCTAGGAGAGAGAGAGAGAGACAGCGTGAGCAGGGGAGGATCAGAGAGAGAGGGAGTCACAGACTGAAACAGGCTCCAGGCTCTGAGCTGGCAGTCAGCACAGAGCCTGACGCGGGGCTCGAACCCACGAACCGCGAGATCATGACCTAAGCGAAAGTCGGACGCTTAACCGACTAAGCCACCCATGCGCCCCTCTTGTTTTTTAAATAAAACTTGTACAAACAACATGAGGGGTGGCCCACATGGGCACGGTGAGACGCGCAGCGGGCACAACCCGCTCACAGTCACCAGGTTCCATGTGCGGTGGGGCACCCGTGGTCCCCACCTGGCCCGTCTCAGGGCCCCGCTCTGCTGACAGGAAGTCACGGAGACACCGGCAACGAGCAGAGCGCCGGGACTCTTCTTGAGGGCAGGCGAGTCCTTGCTCATGCCAAGCCCGTGGCCCACGCCCACGCCCACAACCCATGGCCACGCCCACAGCACAGGCCACGCCCACAGCCCATGCCCATGCCCACTGCCCGGCTCAGGGAAGCGGGGAACGCACCTTGCTGGATGACGGTCTCCCCGGCGATGTGCGTGACGGGAAACATGGCATCGAATATGTCACTGGAAGAGAAAACGCACTGCATGTGGGGGCTGCGGCAGCGCGGGGCACGGACCCGCTGCCTCCCTTCACGTGCCGCACCGGCTCCGGTCACCCAGAAAAATGGAAAAATCCACGTTCAAAGAAAATCACGACCCTTTGTAACCCTGCCACCAGGGCAACGGCTGGCACCCTGCAGACCCGCTTCTGCACCCGCATCCATGGGTTTCGGTCTGGGCTTCCACAGAAACAGAGTCACACTGGACACCTTGTTTTAGACACGCAAACAGGGTAACGGCAGGTGTTGGCTGTGTCACATCAGGAACTACTCTACCAGGGTAGAGAACCTGCCTTCTGCCCCTCTCCCTCGAGGGGTATCTACACGGCCTGGCCGGCAGGCGCCACACCCCACACACAGGCTGTGCCAAAGGGCTGCCTGGCCGTTTAAGTTCCTAAATGTGACTGCTGGATGGACCATACGGGCTGGACATGGACAGCGGGAAGTATGCACGCTGGGGCCCCTTATCTCCACGGGATGGCAACCCAAATGCAAAGTCAGAGGTCAGCCTCGTGCTGCCCAAATGCAACGGCCCAGCTCGGGAGGCCACACCTACCCACCCACAGGGCCCCAAAAGGGAAGCAGACAGAGGGAGGTCTAGTGTGCACGCTGGGGCCCCTAGGGGGTCAACATGCACAGCAGGGCTGGGGTGGGGGGGCTGCCTCCCCTCTGGCTGAACAGCAAACCTCCTCCTGACTGGTCGGGTGGAGCGAACCTCAGGGGAGCCCGCAGGTGCTATACACATCGGTGCCAACCCCCAGGCCCTGTGCTCTGCTGTCTCTATGGCCCAGGAAACGTTGAAGAGTCACTCTTAAAGTAGTAGCTTCTTTCTCCCTGAGAAAGAGGACGGGACCTGAAGGGGCGGTGCTGGAGGGGAGGGGCTTCACGACTTTTGCAGGAGTGCCCATCCCCCCCCCACCCCCAGGCTGGGACCTGGCATCTGTGACCCTCCTGGGCTGCACTTCTCGGCCACAGCTTCCCTGGGGGGAGGGGGGTCTGCAGACAGGTCTGGTCAGTTTTCCAAACGGCATTGCTTCCAAACCACAGCATCGGGGCTCTCAGAATGGTCAGATCTTGAGCTGATTTTACAATTTCTATCTCATTGTTAAAAAATTTCAGCCGGTAACGGTAAAATATTTTCCCAAATGCCATAAACGAGCCAGCCCCAGGACCCATCACCACCCAGCCTAGGCAGGTGCTTGGGACAGAGGTCAAGCCCCAGGGTCGGGCCCCAGCCCACCGCCCCCGCCACCCGTGGCTGCACTTCTGCCCCACGCCGATGAGTCCGAGAAAAGGTCTGTTGCTATCTGGTGCCTTAATTGTTCACACGCAAGCACGGTTCTAATTCTAGTTTTCATCCCGTGTTTCCTGACAAGCGTCCAGATGGAGACGCACAGACCTGGCGAACCCCCGAGCGCCCGGGCCCAGCACCCACCATATAGGCATCTCCCCAGGTACAGAGTGATGAATCCCACGCTGCGAATAGTGAGGCGGGAGGGAGAGCCCAGCCCCACTCACCACAAAGGCCTAATCACCCCCCATTTCCTTCGGAAGAAGCCAAGGCCCCCAGGGACCCCCAGCGCATCTCCAAGGCTCGGACACAACGGACCCTCAGAGGCCCCCGCCTTCCCCATCCTCTGCATCCCCTCACACAAAACCCAATGCTTCCTGCCTCTTAGCACTTAATGGCATTAAAAGATGCGCCTGCCTCTGATGAGAAGAGAAACGGTTTCTATTCTGATCTGGAAGTGACCTCTGGAAACCTCTGCCACAGCTCCGGCCGGGCTCCGGAACTGGGCTTGGCAATTCTGCATCAGGGCCAGTGCCAGGCCCAGGGACACGGCGCTCGGGGCCGCGGAGGCACAGAAACGTGAAGACACTGCAGCCCCCGCCCCGTGCGGCCCCAGGGACAGGGGCAGTGCTGGCCATGCGCCCTTTATCTGCCCCTCCTGCTCCAAGGTCGACCTGCGGCAGTCTCATCCAGACAAGGAAACCAGAGACACTAAGAAGCTTCGCCAAGGTCTGCAGCTGGGAAGAGGTGAGGCCAGGCCACACCCCTGCCGTCCTGTGCAGGGGTCTGTGGGGCGCATAGGGCTGGGCAAGGCCTCCCAGTGTGCTTGGGGTGCAGGGCCTTCCCGGTCTCAGCAGGTGCCCTCAGACAGCAGGTGGTGGAGGGCCCTGGTCGCCCACCCTGAGGAAGCCACTGGCCCCACAGCTGCACCCTGCCCCTCCGATGTTGGCCTGACGTTGGGATCCTCGGGCTCCTGAGAGGCCAGAGTGGCTGCCGCTCCCTCAACAGTGGGGAACAGCTGACGAAAGAGTGCCTGCTGGTCTTAGCCCCGTGTCCCTGTGGCCCCAGCGGGTGCTTTTCACCAGAAGTCCCCACAGTGGCCGAGGCGGTATGGACCCACCTGGAAGGCATCGAAGGGTCCCTCAGGCTTTGACCAGGAATGATGGGGCAGAGGCATTATCTGTTTATCTTGGTTTAATTATACTTATTTCCTGGTCCCGGTGGCTTCTGTCACTTTAGGCCACAGGGGATGGTTCTCAGGACATCTTTGGCTTCAGCTCTGCTTACACATGCCTTCCAGAAAAGCAGAATAAACAGAAAAACCAACGAAGTCGACAGCATGAAAACGGTGATCCAGACACTTGGAGCTCGCTCTGCAGGAGAGGGGTCCAGGTGCCCGCATGCCTGCATCACACAGCGAGCCTGGGGCAGGTCTGGGGGGCGCCCGGTGGTGGGAACCGTGAGTGGACGCCGCATTTTGATAAGCTGCGACAGCTGGGGTGGGATGCAGACATGCCTGCGCCGACTCCCGGTGACAAGATCACAGGCTCCACGCGGGTGCAGTGGGCTGTTCGCGACAGAGGAAAACACCACCCTGAGTGGGCTCGGGACTGTCGGCAATGGCATTCCCACACAGGTTCACGGACTCCTGTACAGCCCCTCCCTCCCTCCCTCTGGGCCAGGTGGTTCTGTTGCGGGGGGCCAGGACCCAGAGCAGAGCACCACTGGCAGGGAGCTGGGTCAGGCTGGCGGCCAGGGAATGGACAGACCTGGACCCCAGCCACACCCTGGCCTGGACCCTGTGGCTCAGGGCCTGCAGAGTGCTGGGTCCCAGCTCCCAGGGCAGTGACGGCTCAGAGACCACAGCCCTGTGGAAGTTCCCACCTGACTCACTCGTTGTCCCGGCACCCCTCCTTCCCTGGGCTGCTCAGCTCTCACCCTCCTCCCCCTGCTGCTGCTCCCCCCATATCCCCCAGGTGACCGTGAGTTCTGAGAATGAAGTTCTGCAGCCTGGCACACAGTGCCCCACCTGGATCTGACCCAGAGCAGGTCCTCGGTATAGATGGAAGGACAGGTTGGACAGTGGATGGAGAGTGGGTGGATGGACGGATGGACGGATGGATGGGTGGTAAATTCGGGAGGGGGTAGATAGATAGGTGGGTGGATAGGTGGATGGAAAGATGGGTGAATGGATGGATGGGTGGGTCAATGGTGAGTGGAGGGAAGGATGGGTAGATGGATGGGTAGTGAACCGGGAGACAGATAGGTGGGTGGATGAGGAGATGGGAGTGGATGGGTAGATAGGTGGATGGTGATGAGTGGATAGATGGGTGGTGAATGGGGGGGTAGAAGGAAAGGTGGGTGGATGGGTAGAAGGGTAGATGGCGGGTGGATGGATGAAAGGGAGGAGGAAAGATAGATGGAGAAAGCTGTCTGTTAAGGCAGCTGCAAGACAGAAGATCAGCTAGAACCAGGTGTGGGTCTTCTAACAAAGTCCCTGCTTCCTCAAGCCATTCACTGAGAATGATGGCAAAGGGTCTTGAATCCTCAGGCTGAGCCCAGTACCCTCCACTCAAAAGAAAAGCCTCATTAACCTTCTCTCACTTGAACCTCACAAGCATAGAAAGACGTTGGCTCCCATTGTTGTCCCCACTTTACAGACAGAAATATCAAGGTTCAGAAAGGTTAAGTGACTCACCCACAGTCACACAGCAGTAAGGCTGACCACCCCGTCAAGGTCCCATTGATTTGTGCTGCAGAGGATGCACAGAAGAACACTCCAGTGTGGGGGAGACTCTGTGGGGGAGACTCTGCCCTCTCTGGCCACATGCCCAGGCCCCAACTCCTGGAGATGCTCCTGGGCAGGGAGGCTGGATGCCATCTACACCAGCCAGGACCCTGTACAGACCACAGGGCGTCGCTCCCCCTGCCCGCAGTCACACTTGCCCTCCCGGGCACACTTGGCTACCTCCTGAATCCCACCTGGTGCCCAGTTCCCTTGGTCTTCTGGGACCAGGCAGGAACACCCAGTCCCAGATAAAGCCCCGTCCTGAGAGCTGCACTCTCCCTGGGTTCAGCGACAAGGCCACGGGCATTAGGTGGTGTCAACTTCAAAGCCCAGACCCCTCTCCCTCTCCCTCATGCCTCATGCCCTTGCGGGGAGGAGTCAAGTTTTCAAAGACAAAGTCAAAATGAGGGCTCCGCCTTGAGGTCAGAATGCCACCAATGAATCCTGACTTACTGTACTTCCTGGAAAACTGTACAAGCCTTCCTGGTCCATCTCGAGAGCTGGTCCCCAAATACGGCAGGGTGAAAGCACCACAGCTAATTCCACCACACAGAAAACTTCAGGGTTTGTTGGGTTTTAAACCTAAACCCCATACACAGTTCAAACGCAAGTTAGTATGTAGAACGTGACCTCCTGGTGAGTTACTTGTCTCGACCTTGAAAACGAGACTTTGCAGAGTGAAACCAAGCCGGCCGGGGGCCACCAGACACTTCCTGAGGGTGAGGGGTCCCTTTGTCACCTCACTGTCACCTGGGGCCAGCTCCCACCTCCTCCTCTATCCCAGCAGAAAACAAACCCTGGATCCCGAGACCCTGGAAGTATGCATAGGACATCTCTGAACCCCTCCATCTCTCCCAGAAGGAAGAGGGCGTGTTGCCGGATGGTC